CATTTTAAAGTAAAATACTTAAATCTGGTGCACTTTGAGCGCCCAATTACTAGAGACTGATCTAGGAGATACAACTCTAAACACCCATGTGAAAAAGATCGGTTTGTATGTGAACATAAACAATAACCTACCATAGCCAAATAAATGTAGGCTAACTTGTTTTATTTTTGTGGTTCATTTATATCTTATTTTACCAGTTAACATTTATTTATTTATGCATATTTTTAAATCTCTCCAGTTTTAAACAATATTTTTGGTTTACTGTCCTATACATTGGAATGATTTCAAACCTGTTTTTATTTATCCTAATAATTATAAAGGTGTGCCTTTGAAATATTTGCTTACATAAATTGTGATCAAACGTTTGAGACCCACTGAGATAACTTAGACTAAAGTGAACTATCTAAACACTGAGAGTCCTTTACCTCACTGAGCCTCTCAATCTGACAGGACAGAACTCTCCCTCCACATTAAACAGCTTCTTATATCCGTTAGCGCAGCAGAAGTTAACAACAATCCCCGCCGGTACCGGTGCACCCCCTCTCTCTATCTATCTATCTATCTATCTCTCCCTCTCTCTCTCTCTCTCTCTCTCACTTTGGCTGTGAGCTGCGGGCGCCTGATAAGCCAACATTCCCCACTTTCGTCACTTACAGCGCCCATCGTACGGGGCAAATCGGAAATGTAACCGGGGTGAAAAGGGTGTTTTCTTTACTTAATTATGAATGTTGTTACATCAAGGCTGAAAATTCGCGTTTTTTAAAATTATATTTGCATTTAATATTGTGGAAGTGCAGATCCCCTGTCCTCCACCAGGGGGTGCTGCAGCACCCTCAGCAGCCCTACTTCCCACAGCCCTGGACGGCGCTGCCTCTCCTCCAGAGAAAACCTGGTTCTTCCCAGCTGCATGGGTTGACCGGAGTCATTCGGAAGTGTAGTCCTCAGACGGTCCGATAACATGGGCTGGAAATCCTCAAATTGCGGCGCGACCCTCCGAGACGAATCCTGGAAGCTGGGAATAACATCTTGGTTGCGTCGACGCTCCCTCTCTCTTTCCCGAAGACGATTATCGATCCAGATGGCCACAGCGATGAGGGATTCCAGATCCCGGGGTGTCTCCAGTGGAGCCAGCTGGTCCTTTATCGGTTCCGAAAGTCCCGTCATGAAGGCATCACGAAGAGCCGGAACATTCCATCCGCTGTCCGCTGCTGCTGTACTGCAATTTGTGAAGTGTTTTCCTCTGTGGTGAAACGATCAGCACTGCACCACGGAGGAAAGTGGCAGAAAGTCGCCTGGAGTTAAAGAGAGCGGGGCTGCGTTGCGTGCATGGCTTCCTTCTGCAGGTAACGGGGAGACACGCTCTGGCGGCGGTCTCGTTCAGGATCCCAAAATAAAATTTGAATATTTTGCACACTTATTCCACTTATTCCTAATGTGCCACTGGTTACGATGCCGCGTGCCACTGCCAGGGGTTGCCGACCCCTGATCTATGGAAGGCAGTTTGGGAATCGGTCCTTTTTTAGCCATAATTGTTACTCTCCAGATCAAATCACTACTTGTTAGGTGACGTCCAACTCGGCCAATAGCCTCAGTCTTTGGAACGATATAATCCCATCATGTATTTAGCCAACAAATGTGAATGTAGGAGCATATTATAAGATTACCGTTTTAAACAATTCAGCTGGAAACATTAAAAAGTCAGAGACATGTCAACTGAGTAATGGAGCTAAAGTAGGCCAAAATAGCTAACCAGCTAGAGCTGTTAAAGCTTTCACTCCAGCAAAGGAAAAAAAAGAACTTAAAAAGCCTGCTTATGTCTAACTCAATCTGGGATCAAGGACCCGTTGTTGCAAAAGTATCAAAGGGGGTAGGGGCTTGGAAAACTATCAGTTTTTACGCATTCTTATCCAATCAATAAGATGCTAAAGAAAATACTGACTGACTTATTCAGACAATCACAAGGCCCATGTTCTTGAACATGTCTCAAAGAAAATGTTTTCAATCCGTTTCTCAGAATGGTTACACTTAAACCATAGCCTTTTTTATTCTCACATCAATTTGTTTTACATGTACCGGTACTATTTTTATTTTTGTAAAGACAGAAAATTAAAGTAGTTTTGAGACAGAAGTAGTTTAAACTTTGCCTTCTCCATCCCTGCAAACCTGACCAATTGCAGCATGAAGTGGGAATGATTGTCGGATTTTCTGTTATGGATAGTTAACATTTTTACTTGGCAACTCCTTTAAAAGTTGATGAAAAGGGGTTTAAAACGCTGTACGACATTATGAACAGCCTTTTGAAGCATTTTAAGTTCATTAACCTTACTGAAAGTGAGAATTAAAAACACACTTGTGCATTTTTACAGAATCTCGTGTTGCATGTTCAGGTTAGGAGCATCTTGTAGAAAGCTGTTGTCCAAATGCATCACCCATGATACTTAAAGTAGCAGAGAACAACCCTAGCTCTGCCAAATCTCCATGGGGACAAATGGATAGCAGATGACAGAAATGAAAGTCAAATCATTTTAATGGGATGGTGGCTACAGCCTCTCAGCATCACTCTTGGCTCCATCCCTCTCCAGAACGTTGTCAATTTGACGATTGAAAGTGACTTTGAACGCAGCAAGAGCAAAGGATCAGCTTTTATAGATCCGGGCTACATTGCGATGGTTCAGCCGGGACACTTGTACGGCAGCAGGGATGCACACAGTCTAGTGGGCTTGTTCCGTCTCGAGTAAGAGCATCAGTGTGTTAATGCAGTGGCACTAATGCGCTAGAAGGCCTAAAGGAGCATTAAGGCAGGGATGACTGAGTGTTAAGCCTGAATAAAGCAGCTCAGCCTTTGTAAGCTGAGCTCTATCTGCAGCGATTGGACTTCCCGTTGGTCTGCTCTTAGATAACCTTTTAAAACACGCAATAAAATAAACATGTAGGTCTTGTTTACATATAGTGTCATAAAAAGCACGTGTGAAACATGTATGCGTGGCTGGAAATCATTTTTTATTACACCGCAGATCACCCAAACACATTTATACTTTAAATCTTTAGTATGGTATTCTATAAAAAGTATTTTAGCTAATCTGTGCTGGGCTTTTCCAACCAGCCAATCACATTCCTCTCTGAGATGATAAGGACTGATAACCTTTGCTGCACTGACTGACGCGTTCCCTTGCCTGTAGATAATGATCAGAAATCCCTCCGAGCCACTTAGTGTAATCTGATTACTGCTGACAAATGAATTCCTTTATTACTTTAAGAATCCCTGTGGTAGCGGTGTAGTACATTTTGTATCGAAAAACATTTTTGAATCATCCCAGGACCATCTCTGTTGGATCATTTCAAATGTTCTGGCCACAGACATTGGTATGGGTCAGGCTATAATCTAGACCAATCCGTCACAAATACATCAGTCCTCAAGAAGCCAATTGTCCTAGAGAGAAATATCTCACTTTGAAGTCAATACAGGTGAGAGAAAGCTAACAGAGGGTACTATAATGTGAAAAACAGTGAAGCTTTTAAGAGCTCACCCTGGTTAAAATGCCTCAATAATAAAGATTCTGACAAATAAAAGGGGTAGTAGGGGGTTTAAACTACATCAAAATCAAAATGTTGCCGATTGCCCCTGATTTTTTCTGATTTATTTACTTCGCAACTATCAAGTATCGATTCATGGTAGATCAGTCTAAAGTGCCAGATTTTGCTACCTGAGAACAAGGAACAACCTTTGACATCTTGACTTTTTCAAGTCAAGATGTGCACGACAATGGAGACTCCAAAGCGATTGCAGGTACAGACTTTGACAGACACTTGTTAGGACGAGTTTAAAGAGAAGGAACATAGGAAAGGGTTTTATTGTATTGTGGTTTGTGAAAAGTTCTTTGTTTTTAGTCATTACAGAGAGAGTAAAGAACTGAAAAAAGTTGGGTACAGGTTTTGAATCAAATGTGAACGGTTTCTAACAATGGAGTGAACAATACTTGGGTGAACAATGTGTTGTTATCTAATGACATGCACTTGGTGTAATGTGGAGGCATGTGCAATATGATAGAGATTGCTTCAAAGTGGAGCCTTGACTTCGGTTGGTAGAAGCCCTTCTGGTTTATGACTGCTGACCCACTGCACTGGTCTATATTAACCTACAGTTTACTGCATCATTGTCTGTTTGGATGCATTCATACTGTGCATCAGTTGATTATGTCTTGACCTTTCTAAATGTGATAACTCACTTCCAGAGTCCATCAATCATTTTGGGGTAGAAACAACATTCCAGCATGGATTTTTATTTTGCCTGCATATACAAAAACACACAGACACGAGCAGACAGAGTCCTCCAAGCTGAGACACAGACTGACAGACAGTCTGGGTGAGTGACAGTGGAACTTTCCAACTGGGAGAGGAAGTGGGGGGGGGGCAGCCAAGCATGAAATGAAAGTCCCAACTGTCATCCTGAGGAGAGGATGAAGACACATGCTGTACTGTACTGTGTGGAAGGGAGAGCTTGTTTTTTTCTGATAGACACTTGCTCTCTTTCTGTTCAAAATTAAAATGATACTGAGTGATGTTTCATTTAATAACAACCATATTTGCTAAAGTATTCCAGTTTTTAGAAAATGTGCTAAAAAAAAGTGTTTGCTCAAAGTAGAACAGTGGAAAAACAATAGGGTATTTGGTTCAAATAAACCTGAATAAATGTTCAGCTTGTTCTCTAGGACATGAAATATCAGTTATTACACTCAAGAATGTAAGTAACTAAGTGACTAAATGAGATGACTAAACATTCATGCCAAAACATTAGCCGCCTTTAGCTTAGCCGTGGTGATGTGCAGCCAAGTGACCTTGGTGTAGCCTAGCGTTAGCTTTTACTTGTCGAGATTGCATTTACGCTTACAAAAATTACAATGTGGTTTCTATATGTGGAGATGATCCTTCTCGGCCAGACGCAAGTATAATAAATGTGTGTTTGCCACACAGCTTATTTTCTGCAACATTCCAAAATCCAATGTTAAAATCCCATTAGATTTAGTCGAAGGGAGTCCTTGCGATGCTATCTTTCAGGTCGGCATACAAATACGTTGTCCCTGCACCAGACTATAGAGGCCAATATAGGCATTATTATTTTCACTGAATAATTTTTAGGGATGCACGATTTATATTTGAGAGCAGATAAGGGAAATCTATAATTGTACATTTTGCCGATAATGAAGCCAAATTGCTTTCAGGGACTAGAGCGCACCATGTACACACTCCAGTAGAGAGAGTGTGATAACAACATGCATTACACGTTTTTTGGATGTTCTATACTAGAAAAAATAAATGAACATTAGGAGAATTATAAATGTTTTTCGTTGTGTAGACAGATTTGGTGAGGTCATGGCTTTGCATTAATAAATCCCCCATCTTCACTCACTATGTGTCATAGCGTTTCTTGTCCTTATCCTGCAAAACATACGCTGATGCTTTTTGTGAAAATGCTCTCAAGCAACAAATAAAAAAATAAACAAGGAACGTCTGAATTTCCTGATGTGATTCCTGCAAGCTTGTACGATAAATATTAGAGGAAAAAGAATAAAAAGTCTGTAGCGGGATAGGTCAGGGAGTTCAAAGTTTAAAGCTTGAAGGCTTTGTGAACTTGAACTTGTCTGAATGGACTCATCCATGACTCAATTTAAATGTATCTACTTTCTACTTCTAGGAACAAGCAACAAAAATGATTAAAGCATCTCAAGGCTGAATGGTGCCACCGGCCAGAAAATAAACCCTTGCTGCGCTGATTCAGTGTTATGCTCCTTTAAAAAGGTTAACCAGTTCCTAATTAATTAAACATCTTGTTAGTTAATCACTGAGAGGAAGGCTGCCAAAATCTACAGAACATGCCGGAGAAGAGTGGAGAAACATTGAGTGAGGAGCAGGACGATGAGGGGAAATAAAGAAGCGCAGTGCTGCTCTCTGCTGGTCCAATAGTGTGATTCAGTGAGGCTGTAATGGGGATGATAGACTGCTTTTATAAAAAGGGACTAAATGATTTTCTCTCTATTATTACAGATACAAACTCATCATCTAGTCTCATTGTAACAAATGGAGGAACATTATGGTCCACACAGTTTATAAATCACAACTCATGGACACTGAGGAAACATTATCGGAGAAAATAAATACTGAAACAG